ATGTTAAATATGCACCTTTTGAAAAATACAAAATCAGTGGTAAGCATGACGTGCTTTCACTTTTTAAGAAATTAATTGTTAAGAACATAGCGTGCAGTGCAGGCGTATTTTGGGCGGGCGAATTAAAGCTGTTTGTTTATGTTGGCATTGATGAAGCCGCCATCTTGGATTTTATGACAGAGGAACATTTGGGACAGTAGACCTGAATAGCAGCCCTTAGGGTACCACTGTAGATTACAGTGTTTTCACAAAAAGTGATTGAAGGCTAATACAGTCGAATTTCCACGTGTGACCTTTTTTCTAAAGCCAACACGTCTTTCCCTCCTTCAATTCTACCAGCTTTCAGCTGAGGTATTAAACATGCCTAGTCCCTAGGCCTCATTATTCTGCGCGGCCAAAGCGTTTCGGGTCACGTGGTCCAAACGAAGCAAGTATGAAACTACGTGAGCGTTGCGCAATTCAAATTCGCGCACACTGCCAATAAGTTAACTAACTATTTAAATGTATCTAATCCGTTATAGCTATGTCATTCAAAAATCCTTTACTGGTTTTTTTCACAAATGAAATGGCATGGTTATAAAGGAGTTGTTCTTTAAACGATTAGTTGAACATTTTGGAAATGTGAGCGCATTCGAATTGCACAACGCTTGTGTTAGACGTTTCATTTCAGACCTACTTGTGAAGGCACACAGATGATTGACTATAAACAGTTTCTGTAAAAATTGACTCAAATAGCTGTACAGTGAAACAGGCATCCACCAAGCCAATTTTGTAGTAAACGATAAGGTATTTTGTATTAAAAGTTCGACCGGTTTCAAACTTTGCGCAACAACTCCCAACAACATGTAACAGGATGTGCAAACGGGCGCAACATGTAACATCCAACAATTTTCGTCCGTTGCACTGGGCTTTAGTATCACATTTGTCTTTAACCCAGCGGTTACCTGGGATATCGTATACAAAAAATGTACAACAGATTTACCCGCACGACCATATACACCCATTTTCTCTGTACCCATTTTCTCTGTGCCACTACACTGACTCTTTTTATATAATGTGCCTGCTAACTGAGCCAAGGCTATTCTCCGAGGAGACAATGTAATAAAGTTTAGCTTACCTTTGACTTGTTTTTACAGCTTAACAACACGCTTCGTCTACTAATCTTTTTCGGTTATATACGTTAATCGCTTGTTCATTGCGCAAGAGAGTCACCTGGATGCGCGAGACTATTAAGAACGGTTGCTCCGCGTTGCAAGCATTCCTAAATGTGTTCTGAGCTGAAATCGCACCCCTCCTTAGCACCCGCATTGAACCGTCAGCTCATGTACTTACCATTTCAAGCTCTTTCAAATCGTGAAATATCTTTACTTGTTGTATTTCAGTTGGCAGTAGCTGTGACTGCGGACTATTAATTTCTTGTTGAAAGCGTAAAAGACGTGTGGAGCAAAGGAAATAGGAAAACGTTTGCATGCAGGCTCGTGGAGAAAGGCAAAAACAACCACTTGCCGTTGATGTTGCCAAGTGCTGTTTGGTTAACAAAAGGACGGCAACACAAGAAATGCACAGAAAGGTAACCAGTCAGAGCGAAAACTGCCGCGGATATTGATCATCCAATAGAAGGCAAAATTGGAAAGCGAGACCCTGGGGACGAGGTTGAAAATTAGGTTTTTGGGAAACTGCCCAACTACCCCTCCCCTAAGACAACATAAACACTTACTTCTCACGTAGGGCAAATGCTGGCTTAAGGGTAGGGGTGGGTTGACAATTTCTTAGAAACCTAACTTGATCTAAGAACGCACTTATCATCGTTGTATCATGAACCCAAGATCATATTTTCCTATCTTTCAGATAATTGATCCGATGTATCCCTTCCTAAAATGCACCACGATTGTTCACTTATCTGAAAAGCATAAAGTTCTTGTAAGGCTAATTTTAGGGCAATTGTATTGTAGACCCCCTCTCCCCTGGAAACAAACGGGTCAGGGATCAATATTTCAAAGGAACGCACCTCACGTCTCAGACTCAGACTAGTCTCTTTAGAACCGTCCCGTAATTCAAAACGACTGCCGGACTTAAGCTGGTTAAAAAAGCACGGAAATACTTCATTCTTTTAAAATCTATTCCATACGACAAGATTCACATGTCACGTTGCTTTATTTATCTCTCAATGTACCCTACCGAGTGAAAGTTAAGTGAGGTCGGACACGCGTACTCGAAAATTCTTATACCTTGAATCACACAGCTAGAAAAATAAAACTATCAGAAACGCTTTTTATGATAACATCAATTGGCTCTATCAATAATTCTACAACGTTGGTATACTATATGGTGGTGTTCTATCATAATCAAAGTCTATGCTCAGCCTTTTAAGAGTGATGATCGTCGTGGCCCTCTATGACAGTTCTAAAAGTTCACTGGTCTGATCTTCATCTCAGCTCTCTTGGCAGAGTAGTAATATCCTTTCCATGTTTTCCAGTTGAGGCCATCAGTAGAGGATGAATGTGAACCATGGTGATAAAAACCATTAAGATTGGACTCATGACAGTTTTTGTACCACCAGCTTCCTTTGAAGGACACTGCACAGTTCGTTGTTTTTGCGCTATCATTATCTTGGTCTTTAGTGCTAAATGGCTGGCCACGATGCCAAGAAAAAGAGTCTCCAGCGGTTCCTAAAAAATACACAAGAGCAGTTTACTATCAACAAAACTATAACAATTTCACGAATATGATTGGCTATCAGCTGTCCCTATTTTAGCATTAATAGGACAGTGTAATAGGACAGTGCGAGTCATCCTTAAGTAACTGGACAGTAAAATCCATCGTGCGCGCGCACTTGAATAATTTTTAAGTCACTGCTTGCAAACAACCGTCGGAATAACTTGTGCTTTAAGTTGAAAACAAAAAAATGCTTAAAAAATCACAAGATTTGTTATAGTTATGGTGAATTGATACAAGAGCTTCAACGCGCCTCGATGCTGAATAAGAGAGTCGCCAGCGGTTCCTAGAATTAATACAAGGGAATTTTACCAGGAATTTTTGAAATTTTAAATAGAAAATCTGAATATAATTTGTAGTATTGAAGTGGAAGAGAAAGGTCGCTTTGGGGAATTTAAGCTGTGGAGATAACTAAGGACCATGACGAAGTCAAGGAAAGCCCATAGAGACATTTTTTGAATACATTTTTGAATATTAAACTTAGTGTTGTTGGTTGGTTTAGTGACGTTGGTTTATTCAGATATTCAGATATTTACAATTCTATTTTCTCACTGCCCACAAATAGAATAGGCTAGTCTAGGTGGGCAGTGTCTATATAAAACAAAATACGCACTCATGGCATTATATTAAATGAACAGGTAAACAAAAGTTATTTAAGCTTATATAAATATATTAAGTTGTACAAAAGGTACGGAACAGCACAAAGGTTAGGTTAAAAACATAGCTGAGATTAACTGGAATACAAAGTCAGAAGCTTACAAGTACACTATTTAGATGATTGCAAAGATAACAAGTGGGTGAATTACGGACGATTTTGAATATGTTGCATTTGTCCTAATAAGGTAGGTAGATCAGGATAATCGTTTGTTTGTGAAAGGATTTGAAGTAAGCAGTCACGTATTTTCTTTTTAAAACTTTGTTTTGGGAGATTTCTAATACTGATGAGAAAAAATTATTGAAAATATTTGGAAACTCAGTCGGATCATTTAATAGTTTATTACTTCTCGGGCATTTTAGAACAAAAATAGCTTTTTGTTTCTTCTTCTGTCGATTTATGAGTTCATTTATGCCTTGCCATGTTTTTTCGGCATTAGTGATATTAGGTTCCTCAAAATATTTGTGGAAATGCATTTTTTTTTAATTAGACGTATGAGCATTGTGACTTTGTTCCCGTAAAATTTGTATTTATCTCTGTCATGATCACCGGATTGGTAAACAAAGGGAATTCTTTATCTTGATTGATTTTCAAAACGATAATAATAAAACACTGAATGCAATTTTGGGGGAGGGGGGGGATGTGTCATTAGTTCACCTGAATAAGTTCCTAAACTAAGCTGGTACTTAGTCCTCTCGCTTGTAACAGCAAACATGCCATATTCAGCGTAAGCGGTTTTGCCTGTAGTGTCCTCCAGATCAACTCGAAGCCTGTTATTTGATTTGGTCAGCCGGTTAATCTTGTCCAGTCCAAGCCAAAACTCGCCATTCAGGTTACCGAACCCCCACTTGTAGTCAGCCCAGTCGAGGTAGAAATCAACCGAGCCGTCCAGTCTCTTTTGGAACACTGTCCACCCCCCTCCGGTTGTTGTTTGGTCACAGAATACATCAAATGCACCTTGACCATCAGGGTCGATTGTATAAACACCACTGATTCTTTCCCCAGCTTTGTAAAGCTCAGCACAGTTCTGCTGTTTAGCTGTTCAGAAAGTGATTACTGTTACAATAGACTCTCTCTTAAGGACACCTCTATAAAACGGGGACCTAGAGTTGGTCCCTTCCTTTGTTTACTCCCTTTATTTGACCTTCTATAAGACGGAGATCTCTCTAAGACGGGTACCCCGGGGGGCGGAGGGGTACTCCTGAAAATTCTTGGTGGGGGTGTGCCGCCCGGTTCTCCAAATCCTGACCCTATTTCAGACCAAAAAATGTAATCTTTCACACCCGTTTTCAGACCAGACCTCTAAAATCCATAACCCTTTTTTAGACCTGGCCTTTAGGCAGAAATTATGTTATCATTACTTAGATAAGAGCGCAAACAAAAAACTCTTCAAATCCATTTCGAATCTGTATATTTCTCTTTCCTTCGTGTACTCATTTGGAATAGAAACGATGAATAAGTTCACACACTCCCGTAGTTCCCTCGAAAACCATACCCGATTCCAGACCAAAATGGGGAAAGTGTATACCCGTTTTCAGACCAAAACGGCGCAATACAAGGGAATCCCCTTCCCGGGGCGGGTACTAAGTGCCCGTTCCAAAGGTCTCCGTCTTGATGAGAGTTGATTGTACAGCAAATCTCTATTAACCCTAAGAGTGATCAGCGTCAAATTTCTCCTTGTAATAACATTGCTTTATAGAACAGAGTGGTCATGACAATTAAGGACATGATCACACAAGATGAATCTAATTGACACTTCTACAAATTCTCCCCACTTCTTCTACTGAAAACGTATCTGGATAACAAATGAGAATTTGAATTTTGATGTTAGGGTTTAAAGGGTTAAGGAGTGAACGTCTATTATGGGGCTTCTTGATAAAAAGAATCGTTTTACTTTTTTCTGTCTCTGGTGTAAAGTTGCTGTTTAAGGAGGAATCAGGAGTTGATCAAAATGACATTTATTACAAGCTCACTAACAACCTCTTGGTGGTAAATCCGGGACCTTGAGTTTACACAATACAATGCCATATAAGGTGACAGCATTACATTAAAATTGGCTCTATACCAGTGAACTAGGTTTAGACTAATTTTGTTTATGTACATATTGACTCCTTCAGCTGATTATTTCGTGGTACGTGGTCAATTGAAATCTCTGGTTTTCTTTTATTAATTCTGATGTGGTGAGGTGGCCTTCTGCTACTAAAACTCTAAGATTAATTCCTAAACTAATTCTTACCATATTATAGTGGGACTCACCATGACTCAGGTAATGACTGAACCAGAGACGGTGCAGAGAAAACTGATTAATTGATTCCCCATTAGAGATTTGATATTCTAGACAAAATTCCTTTGATTCCAATCCGCGTCCCAGACTAATCTACTAAGAAAACCCACCCTTTACAGCGCTATTTTCCTATCTGGCCCATGATATCTGAGGGTTTGCAAGACAATAAACATTGATAAAAAATCTAGACTAGAAATACAGATTAAAAGGAATTCATACCATTCTCATTAGACTTGTTTCCTATTAGGATATTGATATCGGTTTGTAACTGATCCAGTTGTTCCTTTATTTCTTTCAACATTGACGCAATTTTCTCGTTGGGTGCCTCGTAGAAATACACATTATTGCAATGCTGGGTACCGATTGGAGATGAGGTCGAATTGACAAGACGGTTTGTAGGTAAAGCCTGGGTCTTCACCAAGACGTAGAAGATCACCAAACTCCAACAAAAAGTCACAGACATACAAGCCATCGTAAGAATTAAGCTGAGACGCGAGGCAATGAGTTCCTTTTGGAACGGACTAATGAAAACCTGTGACCCTACGTATCGTTTTGCGTCTAATGCGTTTTTTCTTGCGAGTTTGTTCCCTTGTACGCACTTGTTAATTGTTAACAAGGACGTCATTTGAGTTTTATCGACAGCAAATATTTGCACTCTATAACCCCATTTACACGTGCTAAAAAATCATCACGGCACGCCAAAGCTTGGCACCGTGCCTTGTTTACCCGTGCCGAGACTACCTCCCGGAAGTAGTCTCGGCACCCCTAAAATTTTGGGCACTGGTGCCACATTACATTTGGGGCCGACACGATTACACGTTGAAAATTGGGAGTGCCGTGCCTTGAAAACTTCAGCACGGTGCCAAAAATTTGGCGTGCCGTGCCGATTTTATCCACATCGCCTCTTTCAGTCATTTTCAATATTTTATCAGTTATTGGATCTTTAATGAGTTTCTTTTTATACGTTCTTAGTATTGGTTTAAGGTGAAATGTCTTGCCACATATATATTGTGCTTTTTGAGCTATTTTGAAAAAATAGCTCATATGTCAGTGGAGTGAGCGTATGTATCTTTGTGGCTTTGTATCTTTGTATCTTTGTATCTTTGTATGTTCCGATGTTTGTTGCAAGAGCCAATAAGGTTGAAGATACTATAAGTTGATGCTTAGGAACCAATGAGATCTTGGCACCTACTTAAACATGATATTGCTAAAGGTAGAACAAGGGCACTTTAAGACCGCCATCTTGATTCTTCACAATTTTTCGTCTTTTATCACGGCTTCAGGTCTTTGGAAACATTATATTAAATTCCACGCACGTATATATGAGCTGTGTTTCACCTGCGTCAAGGTAGAGTATAAAAGATCACATATTTTCAAAGCTCTTCCAGTGAAACAATAACTGATATTTAGATATGGACTTTAATAGGCCAGTTTACAGTTGTGTGCTTAGTGTCCTAGCATTTGAGTGAACGTGAGGCTGAGGTTGACCTTGTTTTGATAAAAACCTCGATCCTTTTCTAATGTAAATTTTGCTTAAAAAATACTGGTTAGCATAAGAAAGACATGATGTACATAATAAAACAGAAAGGGCTGTATCAAAACAAGGTCAACTCCAGCCTCGTTTTCACCTGCAACTGTAAAATGGGCTATTCGAAAGTATGCGGCCTATAAAATGTGGTTTTAGAAGTTTGAAAGGCGCTGATTTTTTTTTTTAAGCTGTACCGAGTATCGTTAATCCTGTAAACAAGCTGTAGAAATATTATTCTCTCGCTTACAAAGTTCAACAGACCTTTTTCGTTCCGGCGAAACAACAAAAAAAGAATAATAACAGAACAACATGATACATCCTTCCTGCATACTAAGCATTATAGTTATTGCAACGTATTTTATTTACTGTTGTAAAGATGCGTAACTTAAGTAGAAACAGTAGCGTTAGGGAATGAAATTGGAAGAAGCTAGTTGACACAATAATTAGATACTGCTTTATTGAGTGGAGTAACATGATATGAGGAGAAATATATTTCGGCAGTTTGATAATTTTCTTGGAAGTTAATAAATGTTAGGCTATCAACCTTGACGTTGCATGAAACATATAATTTAATTGCAGACTAATGAAGCCGAGCTGATTTTTGAAAATCGTTTGAGAAAATTTTATAGAAAACAATTTTTTTTTACTCTCGAATTGTAAAAGGGCCAAAGACCAACATCTTCACGTGCAAATTGTGTGCATGAGTTATTTTTATATTTCTGTTTACTCGATTAATGTTACCCTGGGTGCCAGAGACTTTTCTAGCGCGGTTTGTGATAACTCGAATTCCCTCACGTACGAAACACGAAAGGGGGCAAAGTCCAACACTTTCACGAGCCAGTTGTGTGACTGTACATCTGATGCAGATTGGCTTTTCACAATAATAATAGTAACTTGAACGTATGAAGACCTGTTTCGTTTTGTAACCAGTGCCTTTAAAAAGGCTCTTGTCTTTTAAGAAGCAATAGCTTTTAAAACATGAAGAAATAAGTTGTCGGAGTTAAACACTGTTTCACTGAGCAGAATCAGCTGTAGAATCGCACGTGAAAACCTCGTGAATTGTGATGCTGCAACCATCTACTACAATGATAAAAATCCTGGTATTTCGTAACTACCCGAATTCGATGAGTCACATTTTGGCTTAAGAAACTCCGAGGAAACCTTAGAGTTTTCCTTCTAATCAACGTTTGGTGAGTACATATATATTTTACTTTAACAATTTGTATAACTTGCACCAAATGTAACAGGGAAAGACAGAGGAAAGTGAATATAAAGCAGCTGAGCGTTTCGCGTTTTCATTTATGTACGGCAATACTCAATTTCGCACAAAAACCCAGTCTACATTTAAGACGAAAAAGGTAGATTCATCACTCTTGATAAGGTTACACTGAAGCATTCAAAATAGCTCATGCACGTTTAACGTGCCTATGTTTGTAATACTGCTACTGGTTCAAGTATAAGTCCAATCATCATCAATATGGCATGTACCCGATATTACTCAAATACAAAGCAAAAATCCATGGTCTGGAGCTCAGTCTTGATTCTTTGTAAAGACTTAATTGCTATAATGCAGATTTAAGTGCAATTTTATCTCTTTTTGGAAAGTTTTTGATTTGATGTTTGATGCAATGCCATATTCATGATTTAATTTTCGCGTAGATGTTGACATTTTCCATTTGGTGGAATATACATGGTGATCAAGCTGGTTCCACCAGATAAAGATTGTTGCTCGGACAATAGTCTTAAAAATGATTCCATATAATATATATTTACATTTTATGGAAACTTTTGATAGGAGCTAAATTTTGTTTGATATTTTTTTTCTCAATACTTTGGAGATGTATTTTATACGTTTCCTTTGACCAGAATTGATTGGAGCAGTACATGCATGGAATACGCACTCCCATCATGTGTTTATTCAGGTAGGTGATGATATGGTCATAACCATTTGATATGAGGAATCTGTATCCATTTTGCTTATACCGACTTTTCATTTCTCTTTGAGCTTCACTAATCTAGTAATTATTTGTGAAGCTTTTGAATTCAATGTAGAGGCCAGTATACTCTTTGTGCTAATTGGCTATGATGGTGTCAGGCTGTCCTTTCATATATCCTTTGCGCCATCAGTTGATACGTTTTTTTGATGTATCTTGGTTCTCACCAAGCCCGGCAGTCATGATAGCCTCAGGATAAAAACGCCTGATGTATTGCACTACTTTGCAGTGAAGATCGGTATCATTTTCATTTAAAACATGTTGTTGTGTGGATTGTCAAACAGATTGTATTGCCCATATTTTGTATTTGATGGCAGTACTAGGGATGTAACCAAATGCTTGAATTTTTCAGCAGTTTCTAATTTTGAAGGCAAAACCAGAGAATAAAAACCTGATTCATTTATGAAAGTAGACCAGTGGACCTGACCCTTCGTTTTGACGGGGTAGCTTTTTCCATCCTCAGAGTCGATATGTTTTCTCAACGCTTGATCCGTATGAATGTATCCGAGGATTTTGGCAATATCTTTTGCCTTAAACCAGATATTTTGTTTGGTATCAATATATGAAATCAATTCAATTTCAAACTCATTATTCGTGAATGTTTTTTCTATCATTGTCATTACTATAGTATATATAATTTACTTTTAACAAGAGCCATAATGGGCTGCTTTTAAATAGTTTTGGTTTCAACAGCCAGAAGCAAAGAATGTTTTTGGCCATTATTGCGAAAAGACAGTATTGCACTACATGAACCCACTTATTATATATTATATCAAAATCACTCTTTCTTGATCACATTCAAATACTTTTTATAGCTGTCATTCATGATATCAGTACAAAATTGCATGAAGAGGATCAGCCAGTGTTATGTTGTCATCCATTTCTTTCAACTTTTTCACATATATTTTCATCAGAGATCGTTTATACCTCATTGCAATAAGATCTTCCTCCACTTCACGGGTTTTATCATATAGCTCATCAAGTTCCTCTTCTTTATAGCAAATATCTGAATGCAAATATATAAATAATAAATATATAATCAGCCATTATATATTAGTTAGATAAATCTGTAAATCCTTCAGCGGAATCCAAGAATTAAAGTCGTCGCTATATCCCAACCACTTCACAAGAGCTTGTTTCTTCTTATAATCTCTTCGAATGACTTTATCAATACGGAATATATCTTGTTTTGCTTTAATAATTCAGGTTCGTAAAAGCTCCCTTGTCTCCCTTGTGTCTCCTCGTTGTTGAGATCTTTTGACCTGTAGGTAATTGGATTTGTGGATTGGATTTTATCGACCAAGAATATCTCTTCAGTCCAATTAGGTGTGTAGCCTTCATCAAACACCTTTCTTTTTTATTTACTTATCCTAACTTTATCACCAATCTTGAACCTAGGTTTAGATGACAACTGCTCCATAGTACCATAGAGATTGAAATACACGGTTAGAAAGTTTAGAAGGGAGTATCCTGGGCCCCTCCTCCTCGGTGGGGAAAATGGAATCTCTCCGATATTTAGCCCCCTCTCCCTAGAACCCGGGTAATCTTGACAAAAACCCAATTGATAAATGTGTCTTGAATATTTAACCATTGGTTTAAGAGTGTGGAAAAACTCGATTAAAAAGTAGTGATGTTTGATGGCTTTACTAAATATTCGGTAGATTGTTGTCAAGCTCGGCGTATAAAGCGCATTCATTATTAAATGTATTTAAATTTTCTACTTATGGCGGTTTGAATTGGCCGTATATTGAATATATGTCTTAAGTTCAAATATGTCTTAGAAACCTTTGAAAGGTAACACCCAGGTCCATGTTTATGGTTAAAATCAAGAGGAAAGGAGATAGACAATTCTCTCGTGGTTGAAATAACATAAAAAAAGATACACATGCACATGAAGAAGTCCAGTGGCCAAAAAGGAAAGGAAAAAGACCTTTGTACTCAAAATTTATG